TCCAGCTCGATCTTGTAAAGTCAATCTTGGGGTCACAGCAGTCCGAACCCGGCTTGGCGCAGTCCACCACGCGGGCAGTCATGCACACGCGGTTGCCGCTGACGGTGTAGACCGGGTCGAGGCGGAAGCGGGACTGCTGCGGGTCGCGGTTGCAGCCTGTGCACAGCAACAGCAGCAACAACATGAATCGAGCGGGTAAACACGTCGTTCGTGTGGACTTCAACGCGTGAAGTACATACATGCCCAGCCCCATGTATGGAGCCCAGCGTTCCTTTTCCATGCCTTGGAAACGCAAAATCCATGATTTTATCCAAGCGGGGTGATGCGACCTACCGTAAGGCGGAAATGTCTCGAGGTACGCCTGGAGAAGACTGCGCTCGGCGCTGGCAGTCGTACGTAGGCATCCCAAGATAACCATCAGCCAGCAGGATAGGAGCAAAACCAATCGCTCCGTCATCCTTACAGGAACCTGTGGCTATAGTACAGGGCATGGAGCAAGCGGGACGCCGTTGAGACCGGTGGGCACTGAGGCCGTGTGCATGAGCGTGCACGCTGCCATTCTGGAAAAGACCCCAACCGGCGATTATTGAAGTTTTCGGTAACCAGGCTCGCCTCCTCCCACGGAAGCAAGTGCACTCTTCTGCTCGCAGGTACCCAAGCTCTACTCACGTCTATAAGCGGTAAGGCAACTACTCATGAAAACTGTAGGTTTTCTGAGAGTAACGAAAGAAAACCAAGGTTTTCTGTGTATTTGCCGAGAGCGTACTCGGCAGTTCGTTGGTGGTACGGCGGGGCCGTACTGGTGAGAAAGTAGGGCAAGTCGCGGAGAGCGCGACGGAAAGAGCAATTTCGCGAGTTAATTTAGTCAGTACTGACAGGTTTCCACTGCGTCGTCTGCCAATTACACCGCCCCGAGGCAGATAACGCAGTCGGTAACCAGGCTCGCCTCCTCCCACGGAAGCAAGTGCACTCTTCTGCTCGCAGGTACCCAAGCTCTACTCACGTCTATAAGCGGTAAGGCAACTACTCATGAAAACATAAAACCAACTGTCTATCGGTGCGCCCAACCAGACCCTTAAGATGAACAGCTCAAATCTTAGCTTACCAGGAGGTTAAATATACTTGATAAGACAATATGGAGCTGTTTATCAAGCGCAAATGTAACCCCGTCCCAAATCTTTTAGGTTCTGCAGCTAACTAAAGGTTTGCCGATCTATCTATTGACCGCGCCGCGATGCCCGGACGATTGGGGGATCGCAGTGGTACAGAACTTCCCCGACTGCTCGTTTATGTATGGCCCTTGACTTGCGTCCGCAGTTGTTTCAGTAGTTTCAGTCGTACAGAACGGCAGGCTACCACCGAAAAACCCGTTGGCTGGCGGTTTCCAGTAGTGCCATTAACCCATCTTCGCGCGCAGAAAACCTGCTGTCAGTGGGACCACAAGTGTAAAACGTGTCGATTGTCGAACTGAAATGAAGGAGGTGCACCTATTCTCTGTGTCATCTGCAGCTCCGCACATTTAGGCTTAGCAAGGTCCCCTGAAGGGCTTGACAGTCCTTTTACTGCCTGCAGTAATCCTTGCTTGGCTGCGTGCGTTGAAACTCGCTAAGCGTTGTTAACGCTGCTGATCGTGCTGTTTAGTGCTGCTACATTTGCCGCAGACCAGTCTGAACCTGAAGATAACAGCCTCAACATGACATGCTATGCTAAGATGGACATATTACCTGTATGTTACTGTATGCATGAAAAGCTTCGTAATCACTAGCAGGCTCGCTAGCTGTTGGCCCTGAAGCCGCGCATACCGAATCTGGGATTTCAGATGATGATGATTATCACTTCACATTACTTATGGTATTTTCGCGGTAGAACAAATTGAGGTTGCTGTGTGGAGGT